TGTGTGTGTGTGTGTGTGTGTGTGTGTGTGTGTGTGTGTGTGTGTGTGTGTGTGTGTGTGTGTGTGTGTGTGTGTGTGTGTGTGTGTGTGTGTGTGTGTGTGTGTGTCGCAGTACGTATCATACATTTGCGTACGGTAGGTCCATTTGAATTTGATGGCACAGGGAGTCGAGCCACCGCTGCGCACCGGCAGACAACATCACGCCGCTTCTAGATACAGCAACAAACACCTCTATCTTCGCCTCCCCCGCTCTCTCACCTTTGCTTTCTCTTTTTTGGCTAAACTCACACGTCAATGCACACACGAAAAGAACATTGTTCTAGGCGTAACGAACGTCCTCTGCAGACAGCAAAGACTGCTGCTCGCCACGTCCGTCTTGACTGCCCACGGTTTGGCCTCGCTTCAGGCGGGCGTGGCGGGCGTGCTTTGGAGTGCCTTGCGCACTCGTGTTGATGCTTTTGTAATCTGGCACTTGATAGCTGTAGCTTCGGCTGCCCGTGCCGGTGTCAGCCCGTGACGAGGCCTTGCGGATGCGGCTGACCAGCACGTGGCGATGCACGTCCACGTATTTGTCTGTCTCGTCCACAATCTCCTGCTGAAGCAGCTCCTCCAACACGTCCTAGCACGATAAATGTACGGGGTTTGTACCCCTCCCTAGATGAGATGATACAGAATGACACAGCCCTGGTTTCAGAGGATGCGCACAGACTTGGTTTCGCACCTCCAACGTAATGATGCCCACCACCTATCAAAGACAATCAAGGCCCGATACCAGCCCACTCGAGGTTAGAAAGCGTAGTTACGCACCAAGACACGTCCATGGACAAGGGTCAATCTGTCATACCTCCTCAAGATGCGAATCATACACGGCAGCCAAATGGGCTGATTTTGGTTTGTGTGTTTGGGGGAGGGAGAAGGCAAGGGCGTGTTCGAGTGAGCTCCACACACACACACACGCGCGCGCGCGCGCGCGCCAGCGCAGCGGTGGCGGTCAAGAGCATTGAACGTACAGCGACCATTCTTAAACTCGTTCAAAAGGTCATAAAGGGGGAGATCTCGGTCCACGCGATTCAGGCGGTGCTTTGGTACTTCGGAAATTGGGGTGCCGTCTTCAGGACGGTACTTGATTAGCCGCTTGGTCAAGATAAAGTGCTGCATGCACAGAATGCAAAATCATAAGCACCCCGAGCACTTTTCGGTAAGCCGGGCATGACGCTTTGCGGCTGCATCCCAGGTGTGGTGGCGTGGTGTGTTCTGGCTCATGCACAGCGTTCTGACCTGCATTTGCGTGGGGGAGTCACGATACACAGGGATGCGCGAATGTCCGCGATCCAGGATGGCCTCCATCACGTTGAGCGACAGGCGCTCGTCAAAGGGCAGACAGAACACACACTCGAGGGGCTGCATGGCATCTGCTGCCACCTATCAAGGTCGGGCGTCATGGGCTTAATCATAAAGTGCGGCCAAGTGGCAGGCAAGAAGAAGCTGGGCCAAATGAGATGGAATTGGATTGTACCTTGTCGTTGAGCTCCAAAGCACCTCGAATGATGTCAATCTCGTGCGAACTGAGGGGTTCCTCGTTGCCGGTGGAATCATCGCCGTGCATTTGAACAAAGGCACCCAACTCTGAGCGGCGAAAGAAGGCCGAGTGATTCTCGCCTGGTGCGCAAATCGCCAGCGTGTTAGAGCAGACGTGAGCAAGAGGGCAAGTCATGCATGGCCCTTCCTTTCTGTTGAAAAGCAAGATGCCTGGCAGGGAGCCCACCAAGGATACAGTCAAGCAGCTTGGAGAGTGGCCACGCAATGGGAAAGAGCAGAATGATCATCAGCCATACGAATCTGGCACATGCGGATAAAGGCGTGAGGTTTGTGCACGAAGCGGCACGAGAGCTGTTGGAACTGTTGCGTGTGCCCATAAGAGGGGGTAGCGTACGGTGTAAAGAACGACCCAATGGCCAGACCATGCTTGGAGCAGAGCGCCTGCGGGATGACCCTGCCGATGGGCGGCACAGAGCCAAAGCGACGAGCAAAGTTGTTCGTTTGAGATGACCCCAAAGAAGTATAAGAAGTGATCGTGTGCCTAACACTGAGAGGGGCAAGGAGCGCTGACTGCCGCTGCTCAACACTTACTCGCCGAAGAAGAGTACGGCAGTGACAGAGATGGCAATGGCAACGTATCTACATGACACACGCGCGCGCGCGCGCCGCGAGTACAGGCAGATGAGCTGCATGCGCTGGGTACGTGTGCTAGGCATGAGAGCATGAGAAGTGGGAGTCCCGTGACAAAGTACAAAGACCTACTCGGAGACGAGGTCATCCAAAAACAGAGGCAGAGCCTCGCACACTGCGGCATTGGAGAGCTGCGCCATGACACAAGGAAAAAAAACCCCCAGGGGGTCAAATGAGTCCAAGGGGAAGCTCCATCGACGGTATGCACCGTGTCGATCAACGGCAAGGGGAGTTGGGAGGGAGCCGTACCAGGAGCGTCACCAGGAGGAGATGATGGCGTGAGACCAAGGGGAGAATGTTTTGTGCACGTTTGCAGTCGCGTTCACTGCCGCCTTGGATCACAACTTGCAAGTGGGTGATATCAAAGCTTAACAAGCCGAGGGTGAGGCCACTGAAGATGCCTGTCGTTCAAAGCGACAGAGTGAGCCACTGGTGCACCGAGGCCGCACATGGGCCAAGACTGGAATGATGAGCGCAAAGCCGCTTCACCGCAACGGAACAACGGCTTACCTGCAGCCAGGACAAGCGTGGCGCAGATGGCAATGTAGATGAAAAATTGGTCCGAGCCCGGGGAGAGCATGTGCTCGTGCGCGGTCATGTAGTGGGTGCCATTGCACACCACTTGATCGCCGTCATACTACAGGGGGTCAGCGAGAGCGATGAGCGTTGACATGCACAGCGCGCAGCAATGATGCGACCAGCATGGATGGGCTACAGAACAGAGCTCTGCGCTGGCAGGCGCCACGCTGTTCGACCACGTGATGACCCTTTGTGATCGCCACGCTCTCCGTTTGCACGCGCGGCACTGCACCAGAGCCGCCCCAGCATCAGAACCCCGCTCCTACCTGGCAAATCACAGTCTGGTTGGTTGCATTCCCAGGGTCACCCGTGGTACTGCTCAGTACCAAGAGCAAGGGATCGATGCTCGGCATGTCGCTGATCGTGACAGTCCCCGCCTTGCCCTCGAAAGTGTAATTATTTACATCCGGATGTTAAAATTTTTATTTGGTGTGTCGATCGATGTCTTTCTCTCTCTCTCTCTCTCTCTCTCTCTCTCTCTCTCTCTCTCCTCTCTCTCTCTCTCTCTCGCTCTCTCAAGCTCTCTCAAGCTCTCAAGCTCTCTCAAGCTCTCTCTCTCTCTCTCTTTCTCTCTCTCTCTCTCTCTCTCTCTCAAGCTCTCAAGCTCTCTCTCTCTCTCAAGCTCTCTCTCTCAAGCTCTCTCAAGCTCTTTCACTCTCTCACTTGGATCACTGCTGCGCTGCCGACTGAGGGGGACTGGCTGGTTGGGCTTGATAGCTGGCAGGGCTTGTATCCAGTCGGTGGTGCCGTGTTCATTGTTGCTGTGGCACGGCGGCCTTGAGATTGACCTGTCCGTTTGTTTGAAAGCCTTGAGATGGCGGAAGTAGCCGAGTTGAACGGCCTGGCCGATCCAGATGACCTCAGGGCTCGCCCACGAAAGCCAAGCGCCAAGGCCAAACCGACCAAGAGCAAACCCGGTGCTGCACCCGCCGATACGACTGGTAAATGTGGCATGGCTTGACCTCGAACAGATGGATGAGACACCTGCCTCACCCAAATTGTGTGTCATCGCGCCCCACCACCAGCGCGCTTCCAACGCAAGATTGGCCGCCTCGAAGCGGGCATCCGTGAACTCGTTTGGGAAAACGCCACTTACTTTAATGAACTCAATCAGATTCAACAGGTGTATCACGAAATTACTGAGCAGAACCGGTCCGTCCTATACCGCAGGCCCTGGCCCTTTGCGTCGTTGCCAATGGACCAGAGAGACTCGCCTCACGGCTGCTCGGTGTGCACGTTAGACAAATCACGTTGCAGCTCATGCTTCATGAAGACATTATTTCGCCCTTTCTACCCACCAGCCGCCTTCGACATGGCCAAGGAAAACGTCCAGGCTTCAACTCTGATGCAGGTACGAAAGCCAGCTTTGATCGGCTGACCAAGTAGCTGGGACCAGCACCCGTGCATCAGATACGGCTCGATAACCTCGCGCTCGCAATAGATGAGGAGCTGCCCGAAGAGCTCAAGAAGCAACAGCGAGCCTTGTTCAAAGCTCAGTCACGTCTCGATGCTTTGCAAAACCAGCGTACGTTCGATATCATCGTCATTCTGCCCCCACCACCCCATGCGATTCAGTCTGTCCATGCTTTCGCAATCTAATAATCACGCCACTACAATGACCGGCTTGTTCAGGTCCCAGCACCGCACAGTCGCTCGAATCGCATCGACCACGCATGATCAATACAGCCCATGGCCGTGTTGAACTGGATGAGCATCACCCGGCGGGTGTGCTGACCACTGCTCAAATCTCTCAGGTGATTGCTTCGGTGGATCAGCACATTGCTGAGGAAATCGACCCTTACAACCGATCGGCGCAAGTGCGGGCGGACATGGCTAAAGAGCGCCTCCTTAGCGACATGCTGGCCTGCTTCCGTGCCTATCGAGACTTTTGCGCGCGCACGGGCCATGAGCCGCAGCCATTGTCGCCGGTCCCTAACATGGACGTGAAGCCACAACGACCTGCTGCGAAGAAGAAAGCCAAGCGTTCCTCGCGAACTAGCGCTTCTCCTCGACCACAAGAAAAGCGCGCCAAGGCACATGCTTCATCCCGCAAGAGCACTGGTGCTACTACTGACAACCTATCCTTCTCTCCGTCTCGAGCTTTGGCTGTTCTGGAACCTGGGAAGCTGGAGCTGCTGAACATTGGCCAGACGGAGCAGAAGAGCGCCAAGAATGAATATGGCATCCGCTTGTGTCCGGGTCTTGCCACACGCCGCCTTTTAATGGTACGTGACTGCTACAAGCTACCAGTGAAGACGCAGGTATTTGGAGGGACTGTCTGAGCTGCGGACCTGAAGATCAATTTAATGCCTGATGAACGTCGGGGACCTGCGATGCTTGATAGGGCACGGATAACCAAGTGCAAGCCATCACCCTGACCTTGCATCCAGATAAGGACGGTACCATCTGGTACGTGGTCAAATACATCAAGTCAGAGTTTGATGAGGTCACGCGGCGCTGCGACAGCTTGGCGGCGGCCTATGCCTTTGTCGTGGAACAGTGCACGGTAGGACTACTCTGCCATGACAAGAGTGCAGGCACAGCTTGAATCTACCGGCCGTCTTGTTTTGAAGCTTCCCGCAATTTGCTCGCGCCTTCGTTCGTTTTCTCTTTTAATGCCAGGTCCTTTCGGGGGTGCCATCCTTTGTAGGACTTGAATGTTCCCCCCATTAGTAGCTTACCTCGCAAACAGGCGGCTGACTACTTTGGCCTATCCCACCCACGCGTCAAAGCCCTACAGCGCAAGCACGCGCCCAGCAGCAGTGAAGAAGAGGATGAGAATGAAGATGAGGAGGAGGATGGGAGTGTCGATGATCGTGACGATCATGACAATGAGGATGAGGATGACAATGACGACGACGATGAGGATGAGGATGAGGATGACGACGACGACGACGACGACGACGATCACGACGATCACGCTGGTCACGGTGCACCTGACTCAAGAGCGCGAGTCGCTCCTCAGTCCGCTGGCTCGACCAGCGTGGGACTGCATCGACGCATGCTGGTTGACGAGAGCGAGGACGACGAATCGGAATCCGACGTAGAAGAGGCTGCCTCAAATGGTGCCAAGCATCATCGGCAACCAGCTGATATCCTGACGCGTGAACAGGTCAGCAGCGATGCTGAGTGGAGTGAGGCGGAGCCTGTCGACGAGCTGAATGCAAGCGAGGCGTCTGATTAAGCATGTGCTGATGTTCAAGGCTCTGCGCTTTGTTATGGTCGTGCGTCAAGCCTTTGTGTTCCTCCTTGCTGACTCAAAAAACATGGAAGAGACCCAGAAGAATTGACATTATAATAATAGTCATATGCAAAAGTGGTGGGACTGATCAAGAAGTTAGGTTTGTGTACCTGGTCTCAGCCAGCGTATTCAATTCTTTTTTATTTTTGTTCAAACTTTGGTAGATGTGCCTCACAAGGCAGGTTGTCACCTCTCGCCTGCTGGTGAACAGGATTGGAAGGCATGACAAGTCTCGACAGTTTCCCATGGGTTTGGAAAACAACAGAAGGGGAGCATCGGAAACTCGTCAGACCGCATCGCATCGATGATCACCCCGAGATTGCTTTACTCTTGCTTCTTGTAGGCAGCGACGCTGGCCTGGAACATGCTGAAGGGAAAGTAAACCAGGCCGACAGCCGCCGCGAGGACCACCACCCACTCAAACTGAAGAAGGGAGGGCGTGGAGAAGCGTGAGGGTAGACGTGGTGCATCAACTTCAAGGCTATGCGGATACGAACGAGTGTCGGAAACGAGAAACGAGTGCGACGGATGTGAGCATGACAAGATGCGTACCAGATGAGTATCGAAAGCACGAGCAAAGTCATCGTTGGGCGCAATGGGAATCTGCTTGGGCTCGCTGCTGATGGCCGACTGCATTGTCGCACAAGCAAGACATGGTCAGATTTAGGAACCGAGTCAGGGACAAATCGTGTCACGGTCCCCAAAATGAAAGGCGCCCAACCGATTTGGGCGTTGAACGTACCACGGTGGACTGGGCATCGGGGGACGCCTTGTAGGTAACGGTGGCAGCCGACAGGTTGTAGTAGCCAGAGTACTCGGCCTGAACAACAACGTGGTGGGAAACATTGGCCTGAGGGGTGAGGGAAGCAAAGTTGACCGAGGTCAAGCCCGAAACCAGCTGGAAGCCCGAGTTCTCCTCCTCAAAGCTCGTATCTGAGAGGGTGATGTCCGTAGCCTCCCTGTGACAGGAGAAGCAGAGGAGGTGAGACGGGCAAAGATGAATTTGCTACAGCGGAATGTGCTGCACCTTCTTCCTGTCACGGAGAAAGAAAAAAAAAAAGAGCGAACATAGGTGCATTCTGTGCAGGCTCAGAAACTTACGCATCGCCAGTGTTGTAGAGGCTGTAGCGGATGGTCAGGTCGCGACCGACGACGGCGCGGGTGTTGACCACCTCCTTGGCCACCAGGAGACGAGCCTCCTGAGCAGCGCAAGCCGCAACAAGGACGGCAAGGCAAACAAACTACAACCAAGGCAGTGAACAATCGATGTCAGGACCCATGAGAAAGAAAAAAAAATGGATCCCTGCCACACAATGTGCCCAAAGAGAGTTGTGGAGCCTGGACGAGATCGACAACAGAGCACGAAAGCTTTGCAGTAGCTTTGTGCAAGATCAAGAAGGAGGAAGCGATCCGCTCGCCCGGCTGCCTTTAACACATTCATGGTGTCTCAATTGCACTGCCACCCTCCCCATGATGCTGTGCTCTTCCAGTAGAGCTGGCACACTCAGCCAGCCGCTCCACGCATGCCCAACCCTCAACCGTGGAGCCCAAGCCCACAACCGATGCCAAGGGGGTGGTCACTTACCAGCTTCATGATGATGATCGGCGCAGTCGGCGAGAGCAGGAGAGGGCGGCGCGGGCGAGTGAGAACAAAGAATAAAATGTACGCCTGCAGCTCACTGTCCAGCGTGTGTCGGGTGTAGAGGATCTAAAGCTAAGAACCGCTTGCATTCCGATGTTCAGGTGTGGTGGGTGGTGAAGCAGCTCGCACCACCACAAAACCTCAACGTCAGCAGCTTGACCAGGATTTTTTCCATATTTTCTGACCCACCCGGTTCATTGATCCGCTTGCAAGCGATGCTATCAGATCGTCTGACAATCTTTTTTTTTTTTTTGTTTGTGTTTGACTCCACACACACACACACACACACACAGACACTCATGAAGAAGGGCGGCGCACGAGCTGGACTGCTCCTGGTACTGGGTCTGGGCCTGGGACTGGTAGCGCGAGGCGTTGTCGTTGACCCACTGGTGTGTTATGTGAGCGAGGCACATGGGTGCACGGCCGTGGCGGATTTGTCCGTGGCGCTGGGCCCGGCCGTGGTGGCGTCGGCCACCATCAACCCGCTCAACGCCTGCGCGTCCTACTGCCAGCTCTTCGACCTCGGACAGGCAGCTCTCCTGAATACCACTGTCTGCTACTGTCTCGATGCTCCGGCCCCAAAGCCAGTGGACCTGTCAGTCGGTGCAACGAATTGCACCAAACCGCCGTGCTGCCCAGGCAACCACGATGGAACACCCACTGCCTTTGCCTATACCTACCAATGCAGTGGGACGCGCCTCCCCAACAGTCAGGCCTGTGTCACTGCACGTGCACAAGACTTTGCATTTTGCGATGCCAACCGCAGCGTGGACGAGCGCTTGGACGATCTCTCCCGGCGCCTGTCCCTGACCGATAAGATTCGTCTTTTTACTCCGCAAGACGCGTACGGCGGCGACCACTGCTCAGACCACACGGCCGCCTACCCAGATCTGGATATCCCAAATTGGCTGTGGCTGACGGAGACCAACACTGACGTGGCAGCGGCCTGCCTGGCTCCGGATCGCTGCCCATCAACCTTCCCCGGCCCCTTGGGCATGGCCGCTAGCTTCAATGCCTCGCTTTGGTTTGCCAAGGGTGACGTGCTGGCCACAGAGCTGCGCGCCTTTAGCAATACCAACTGGCATCGAAGCAACGTGGATAACCAGATCCAATATACGGGCTTTGGCCCCAACATCAATATTGCCCGTGATCCTCGTTTCGGGCGCACCTCGGAGCTGCCGGGTGAGGATCCCTACCTCTCCGGCACGTATGCCACCCATATGGTACGGGGAATGATGCAGGCAGATGCTGCGGGGCATCCCAAAATGTTGGCCTACCTCAAGCATTTTACTGCCTATTCAACGGAAACCAACCGCCAGCACTCGGACTTTAACGTCTCCAGTCACGATCTCTGGGACACCTACCTGCCGCAGTACGAGATGGCCTTCCGCTCAGCACAGCCTGCTGGTGCCATGTGTTCATACAACGCCGTCAACGGCCGCCCGAGCTGCGCCAACGGCTACATATTGCGCGATGTGCTGCGCAACCAATGGCAACAGCCCAATGCTCACATCACCTCGGACTGTGGGGCCATCTCCAGCTTGCGTGGTGCGCCTGTTTTTGCGCCCGACGATGCCACGGCCGCGGCGGTGGCCCTGAACAACGGCACCGATCTCGAGATGGGCAGCCAGGTCTATGCCTCGCTCGCCGAAGCCGTGGCACGAAATCTAACTAGCTCGACTCTGGTGGAGGAAGCGTTCCGTCGCGCAGCCCGCATCCTTTTCCGGGGTGGACGCTTCGATCCGCCAGCGACCGTCGAGTGGAACGCTTACGGCGTGCAGGACATCAACTCCAGCGCGACTCAGGCCCTAGTCCACGAAGCCACGGCGCAGTCCCTTGTTCTGCTGCAAAACCGCCATGGCATTTTGCCGCTCGCACCGGGCCAACGCGTGGCCGTGGTGGGGCCTCTGGTCGAGCGTGGGGACGCGCTGCTTTCCGACTACGCGTCACTCGTCTGCTATGATGGCACGTATGATTGCATTCCCACGCTGGGCGCGAGCGTGACGGCAGCAAACAAGGGTGGCGCAACCACCGTGGTCCCGGGCGTGGATGTCAACTCGAACAACTCTTCGGGACTGGCGGCTGCAGTGGCGGCGGCACAAGCGGCGGACGTGGTAGTGGCTTTTCTGGGCACGGACAAGACGATCGAGCGGGAGGGCTTGGATCGGGTTAACCTAACTCTGCCGGGCTTGCAGGGGTTGCTCCTGGACCAACTGCTCGCCACGGGCACGCCAGTGGTTTTGCTCCTCAACAATGGCGGCCCCTTGGCCATAGAGTCATACCTGAACCGCACGGCTGCCGTGATGGAAACCTTCAACGCCGGCCAGTTTGGCGCCACCGTCATGGCCAAGGCCCTCTTTGGACAAGTGAACAACTTTGGCAAACTCCCCTACACCGTGTACCCGGCAGGCTATGTGACGGAGCAGGCCATGAACAACTATGACATGGCCCTTTATCCCGGTCGCACCTACCGCTACTTGGTTCAGGCCCCCGTCTTTCCCTTTGGTTTTGGCCTGAGCTACACGACCTTTAACTTGGCGTGCGCGCCCAACAGCAATCACAGCGAGGTTGTGTGCAACGTCACCAACACGGGATCGCGAGCGGGTGATGAGGTCGTGTTGGCCTACCACGCGCTTGGAGCTGATGCGCGGGGGCGCGCCGATCACGCCGTCCCTATCCGAGCTCTGTACGCCTTTGAACGCGTGCACCTCGCACCCCAGGCCACCACATCGGTGCACTTTCCCACAACAGCTGCCCAGGCCCTGGTGGTAAATGCAAGTGGTGCGCAGGTGCTGTACCCTGGCACGCACCAGTTTATCGTCAGCCGAGGCCCGGGCGACCTGCACACCAACGTGGACGATTATGTGACAGAAGTGGTGTTTTGAGACGGCCCTGGCCCATAATTGACTTTTTTTAGTTTGCATGCGAGATCGAGACACAGATCTGTTTTCAGCCCCTCATACAAGCAAATACAAAACGATATAAGGTCATGCGGCCGCCGTTTTTTTTTCCGGTGCCGTCCGTATGAAGAGGCACTCCTGAAGTGCCCCCATGCGGCTAACATCGAAAAAGGCGTTGAAATGGCAGTAATTGCAGTATCTTTTCAAAACTACACACATTCACCTTACATACCAACTGGTACTTTTCGTCGTCATTTTGGGTGTTTAAGTCGAGATGCTTCTTCGTGCACCACGTGTTGCATGGCCATTCCATCATCAAGGGAAACAGTCCTTCAACAAGTCTCAACCCGTTTGGGTGTGACGAATCTCTTTGTCTGACATTCTTGCACACGGGATCACCCCCTATTTCGCGCACTGTATGTGAACGACAAACAACGTAAAACCAGCAGATGCGTGTCATGACGAGAATGGGACCGACGATGATGTCATTCTCTTCCCCTCTCTCTCTGTCTCTCTCTCTCTCTGTCTCTCTCTCTCTCTCTGTCTCTCTCTCTCTCTCTCTCTCTCTCTGTCTCTCTCTCTCTGTCTCTCTCTCTCTGTCTCTCTCTCTCTATCTCTCTCTCTCTCTCTCTCTGTCTCTCTCTCTCTCTCTCTCTCTCTCTCTCTCTCTCTCTCTCTCTCTCTCTCTCTCTCTCTCTCTCTCTCTCTCT